CCGGGCGCGCACCTGAGCGCACAGGTGCGAAGGACAGACTAGCGCGGTGTTCCAGGTGGCACACAGGCATTCTGTCTTATGTGGGACCATTCGTAATTTTAACCTCCCCCTGGCCTTCCCCCCCCCGCCTTCCATCCCCTTTGTGGCCTCTACAACCGTAGTTGAAAATCCAACCCCAGGAGCCACGTCTGTGGACGCCTCTCTCCAGCCCTCCGTGCCTCCCAGCTCCCTTCCTTCCCAGCTCCGTGTTTTCTCCAGCACCCACCTAGGCCTTTCTCCCAAACACAGCAGGAGACTTGGAGGGGGTCCTACCCGCTTATTTCGCTCACAGAACTTCCTGGAAATTTGTCTCCCTGGATGGAAAACAAGCTCCCCCCAGGAGCCTCGTCACATTGGGACAGTGGCTTTTCTTTTTTTTTTTTTTCTTTTTTTTAATTAAAAAAAAAAAATTTTTTTTAATGTTTATTTATTTTTGAGAGAGACAGAGACAGAATGTGAGTGGGTTAGGGGCAGAAAGAGGAGACACAGAATCCAAAACAGGCTCCAGGCTCCGAGCACAGAGCCCGACGCAGGGTTCGAACTCACAGACCATGAGATCATGACCTGAGCCGAAGTCAGACGCTCAACTGACGGAGCCCCCAGGAGCCCCAGGACAGTGGCTTTTCTTGACTGGGAGCAGACTGGCCTTTGTTGTTTTCTGATGGTTGAGGCGTGGCCCCAGCAGACGGACGGAGGCAGATGTCCTGTGGTGCACATGCCCCTGCCCTTGTGTTGAAGACCAGTGCTCTCTGGAGAGTCAGCTCCCGCCACGGCTCGGGAAGGGGACGCAGCTTGACTCACTCCGGCGCTAAGAGTTAGCCAGGGCTGGGGGCTCCCCCGAGCCACCTCCTGGAGCAGCCAAAACCCCAGCAGTTTCCCCCACAGGTTCCGCCTTTGGGGAAAAGAGAAGTCGACCTCAGCAGCCTGTGCCTGAGGTCACGCACTGGGGCCCTGTCCTGGAGCTTGGGTTCCCCGGGCCACTCGCCAGCCAGGATCACCTCAGGGCTCTTCCCTCCTGCCCCCCATCGAACCCCGCCGGAACAGGAGGGGGCTGATGACACAGTGGGAGGCATGAGATCCAGGCCACCTTGTCTCCAGGGGGTCGGGACCCAGGGGGTTCGCAGCCCTGCGGTGGCCTGGTGGGAGCGGGGCTGGGCAGGGTGCTCCAGACTGCCTCCTGGATCCCTCCCAGGTCAGTTTCCTCTCTGCCAGGCTGCTGTGAGGGCCACGCCGACTACACTGTGCCACCGTGTACATCCAAGTGGGGCCGTGTACGTCCGTGATCTTGCACGTGAGGCCCACATCGTGCCGGCTTAGAACATCCTGCCCGTCCTCTGACGCTCCTCTTAGCAGTAAAAGTGGCCTGCGTTTCCTCTCCTTGAATCGGTGTGGGCTCGTGACTACCATCCCGTAGGACAGAAATGGTGCCTCTGAGCTCTTGGCTGGGTGACGAACGGCCCGTCACATCCTGCACCTGTCACTGGAGCCCCTGAGCCGCCGCGAGACACGTGTGAGCCCTCTGAGGTCGCCATGCTGGAGAGACCGCACGGACAGACCCTGAGACTGCAGCCAGCCCGGCTTTCACACTCGTGAGGGAATACACTGGTTCGGGCCCCCAAGATCTGGGGTCTGGCCTGGGAAGCAGCGGATGGGCTGGAACCCGCTTGTGGAGATATGGCCACGTAGGTAAACACAGCAGAGAGATACGAGGCAGTTTCCGTGCAGGGATGTGGCAACAATTGCAATCCCACAGCCCAACGTGCTTTGCAAACGGAAGAGGTGGTTGGTTGTTAAGGTGACTCACGCTCTTCCGATTGTTCTGAAACACTAATACTTCCCTCAGCCGGAGCCAAGGCGCCATGCTTCTCCGGTGGTAGCTTCCGGACAAGACGTGTGCAGAGAAGGCCTTGGTCAGGCCACGGATGCTTGTGCGGTGCGGACAGATGTAGGAAGCCACCTGTCATTTCCCTCCGACCATCCGCCCCTGGGCCCACAGCAGATCAGTGGGACGCAGGTGCGTTTCCAGAACCTTGTCCTCGTTGTGTGTCCACAAACCTGGCTCCTCGTCTTAGGGTGGCTCCAGGAAGGGGCTTCCTCTGACTATTTCCTCCCACTGCTCCTTTCGCGGCCTCCACCCTCGCCTACTTTCTCCTGCACCAAAAACTCCCTCCGGGCAGAAATCTTGGTCTGTAGCACCTAACACGGTGCGTGGATGCTTGTGGAATAACTGGGCCCCACTCATTCTGGCCGACTCCCTCAGCGTGCTCCGAGCAGACCCCCAATTTCATACAAGATTCTGCGTGAGGACAGAGCGGCTCGGGACTGTTCGCTGGCCCCCGGTGAGTGCAGACCCGGAGTGGGGTGGCATTGAGAGAGGTCACCGTCCTCTGTGTCCGCACCTAGTCCGGGGCCAGCTGCTCGTCCCTGACCCTGCCAGCCCACCCACCTCGGTCCCCCTGCACTTTCCAAAACAAGAAGTCATTCTCTTTGGTAGAGATTCTGTCTTTCTCTCTCCCACCTGTTCTTACCTGGAAACTGAAATAAAGTAAACACGCTGCAATATTTAAGAGCCTTTACGGCAACACCTTTGTGGATGCAGATCGGGCAGATGGAGCCCTGAATTCGGCTGGCCCCCGGGGCGATATAAATGCCGTTCATTTATTCACCGAAGACCGACTGCGCGCTTCCCGGGTGCGGCTGGGGCACTGGCGCGCGAGAGAAAGTGAGCCCTGGCCTTGCAATGCCTAACTGCGGTTCTTACAGCGCACGCTTACACTGCTTTTCCGGAAATACTCATGACCATGGGAGTATGAGGGGCAGTCTCGGGTCCCGAACACGCCCCACCCCTTCGGAGGTTCTCATGACGCCCAGCGGCATCCGGAGGGGAGAAGGCCGCTGCTCCTGGCTTCTGCTCCGTGGGTGAGTGGACGCAGTGGTGAGGGCAGGGGAGGACCTTCCCGGGGACACGCTCCTCCGTTCCGTGCGGGTCCCCTGTCACCCCGGGACTCCAGGATCAGGGCGTGTGACGTTCAGATTTGCGGGGACACCCTGTGCGGGAGGCAGGAGCGGGGAGGCCGGAGAGGCCGGGAGGAGGAGGGAGGTTGGCCGGGAGACCCTCGCCCGCAGTGCAGTCTGAGAGCGTTGACGGAGCGGCCTATGGGGCAGATGTACCTGCCGCCGGGGGGGGACTCGGGACGCAGCCGCGGGGCCGATGCCATCACGTTCCTGAAGGTGGAGGCCCGACAGGTGCCCCTTCACGGCCACCTCGAGCCCCGTCACCATCCTCTTCAGTCCCCACGTGAAATACAAGTCAGCATGAATTTCCCCCGGTTTGTAGTGGTTCGTGGAAACTGACGGAAAGGCTCGTGGTCACTCCACAAGTGGATGGAAAGTGAACTCTGCTTCTCCAGGGACCCCGTATTGTCCGCGTGCTCTCTTTCAACCCCCACGGCTCCCGCCTGCTGGCAGCACGGCCGGCCGGGGCAGGGTGACCCCCAAACACCTGAACCACCGTGCGCTCTGCTGAGGAGACTTGAAATCCGCCCTCGGTCCCCGACGCTCCTCTCAGCCAGACACTTGGCCACGTCCGACCCCGGGTCCCCAGGCCGCTGCCCGAGCTCCAGACGGCGATAGGGGTGCCCTCCACGTCCCGCTGCGCACTTGCCCAGCTCCGTCCTTGCGGGGAAGCCGCGTCTCCTCGGTGCAGGGGCAGGTGCGGGGAGAGGGAAGGGGCCGCGTTCACACAGCGCCGGCCGACCGGGCTTCCCGCCTTGTCCCACCTCCGCCCCAATGCCAGCCTGCCCTCCCCATCCCTTCCCTTCCCATCATAGAGATGCAGGGCCCGCAGTGGGCAAGGAGGGAGGCGGCGGGGCGAGGCTGCAGCCGGGGACCTATGTGCGCGTAAGTCTAGAGCCCCGTCTGGTCCCACGGTTTCTGATTCAGACATGGGATAATTTACCTGATTTCAGAACGCGGTGCGAGCAGGACTCTGCTGTGTGTCTGGCAGGGGGGAAGACCGAGGGGGTGCCGCCCGCCCGTGTCACCCGTGCTCAAGTCCCAGGGGGCGAGGGCGAGCTGCCGGAGCCTCGCCCCGGAGGCCCCTGTTCTGTCTGCTTCGGACGGAAGTTCCCTCCCAGATCTTCATGAACCCGCGGCAGCCGCTGGGTGGCTGTGTGGGACACTTGTCTGCGGGTGGCATTCACATCGTGTGAGACGACCCGCTTACGAGCGGACAGGGCAGCCGTGCCCAGTATGCTGACGGTGCCGTGCGACCACCTTGCGGCTCCCCAGCGTCTCGTCACAAATCCCACCCTGTTCCCAGGAAGGAGTAGCCCCCTCCTCAGCCCCTGGTGGCCCCCAGTCTGCTGTGTCCACGGTCCGCTTATTCGGGGCGGCCCGTACTGAACGGAACCACAGCACGGCGCCTACCTGGCTTGCTTGCCTTGGCGCCGTGCTGTGTCGGAGCCCTGTCCCTGTTGCAGCCCAACTCGCCACCTCGTTCCTCTCGCGGCTGAGCGACGTTCCGCCACTCACCCGTTTATCCGGCGGTGACCGTTGGCACTGTGGGATCGAGCCGGTCGCCGTCCCCGGCGCTGCGGTGAAGGTCGCGTGCGGGGGTGTGGGCTCCTGTTTTCAGACCGGGGGCGAGCTCCGCAGTGGAGCTGCTGAGCCGTCTGGTAATCCCACGCGCAACCCTCCGAGGAACGGCCGAGTTCCCGCGGGGGCCGCCGCCGGGCCTGCCCACCAGCCGCGTGGGAGCGCTCCGGCTTCTCCACATCCTCCCACAGGAGACATTTGAGCGCCTGCATCCACCGCTCACGTTTTGAGGAAGTGGGCTCTCGCTGAACCGTTTTCCTGCTTCACGCTGTCAACTTTCTCTTTCACACCCGGCCCAGGCCGAGTGACCGGGAGGAAGGATACCGCCCGGTGATGCAAAAGGAAATTTCCCCAGCCTCCACGCGTCGCCGTGCGTCACACCCCGCCGGGGGCCGCGAGCCTTCACCTGCCGTCACCTCGCCGCCTCCCCGAGAGCAGGCTCCAGACGGGGCTGCGCAGCGGGCAGAGGATGGCCGACGGTGAGTTTGGGTACGTTCTCACGCTGGCCCGGGACTATACGAAGCACGTTCTGCAGGGGCCCCAGCCCGGGTCCCACCTAAGCAGAGTATCCCAAGTGCTACAAGACGTGGCCTTCTCGGTCCAGGGGGAGGTCGAGAAGAAGTTGAAGCCATGCCTGGACAAGTTCCACGTGGTGTCGGTAGACACGGCCAGGACGATATTCCACCAAGTGATGGAAAAGGAATTTGAAGACGGCATCATTAACTGGGGCAGGATTGTGACAATATTTGCGTTTGAGGGCATCCTCATCAAGAAGCTTCTCCAGGAGCGGATCGTCCCAGACGCGGACGCGTTTAAGGTTTCCTACTTTGTCGCCGAGTTCATCACGAAACACACGGGAGAATGGATCCGGCAAAACGGAGGCTGGGTATGTGCCGTGGGATATTTCTCGTTGTTCTTACCTTTGAACTAGGAATTGACAGTTTCTCCCCGGTTAAAAAAAAACTACTGTTTTCTTCAGGTGGTTTATTTTTAAAGGTTCTCGTTTTCATTAAAAAGCTTATTTATTTATTTTGGTGGGGGGGGGGGTGGGCAGAGAGAGAAGAGGAGACAGAATCCCAAGCAGGCTCTGTGCTGTCAGTCAGAGCCCCGCTCGGGGCTCGATCTCATGAAAGGTGGACGCCTAACTGACTGGGCCGCCCAGGTGCCCCTGAAGTTTCTCATTTTATAAGAAGAAGACATTTCTGGCTCCTTTCCAGTGAATCCTAGAACTTTCTAGCTGGAAAACACATGCGGTTCCAGCTTTGACTCCTAAAGGCCTTACGAGTGGGGGGTAAGATTTGGGAGCACGAGAGCGTCTCCCCAGGGCACCTGTCAGAGGCGCAGTGCCCAGCGGAGGACTTGGCTGTGGCCAGGCTGTCATGACAACGTACAATTAGCACAGAAGGAGGTGGAATCAGATGCTGTTATACTTGGGTATTTATTATTTTGCAAAAGACGGGTACATTTTTGCAAGTTCATTGTTTACAAACTGATTTTCTTTTCTTCTTTTTTTTTCAATTTTCCAACATAACAAATTCTGGCTGTTAAAGCCTATTGACTAAAAATAATAGTAATAACGTGCTATACCACCAGCAAGAAGCTTCATAGAAGAATTTCCACATAACAATTCACTTTATTATCAAAGCCTCAGAAAGCCCAGACTGGGGGGTGGAGGGGCTCTGTTAGAAGGCACTGATAAGGGGCGTTCCACAGCTGGATGTTCATGCTTGTCTTTTTACACCAGTACCCTTAACACTGACTTATTTTTTAAACTTTATTTTTTTAATTTTTATTTATTTTTGAGAGAGAGAAAGAGAGACAGAGAGGGAACAAGCAGAGGAGGGGCACAGAGAGAGGGAAACACAGAATCCGAAGCAGGTTCCGGGCTCGGAGCTGTGAGCACAGAGCCCGACACGGGGCTCGAACCCACAAACCGTGAGATCGTGACCTGAGCCGAAGTCGGACGCTTAACCGACTGAGCCACTCAGGTGCTCCTTAACAACTGACTTTCTGAAACTACTTACGGCTCCCTGGATCCTCTTTCCAACCCCCAGTCCTAGCCCTCTCCTCTCCCCAGAGGGGAGATATGCATTATTAGCAATTATTTTACACGCAAATCTTGCCTATTGAATAACTCTATAGAAAATACACACACTACTTTTTTGTAAAAAATTTTTATACGTATAAATACTACGTGGTACTTATTCCGGGTTTATTTTCCACCCAAGGGCCTTTAAAATATTATTTTAAAGAATACTACAGAAAAAAAAA